AAAAACATCAAAGGAAAATATAAAAAGCACTTCCATCATTTGATTTAAAAATTAAATGACTAAAATTTACATAAAATTGTTGCTATGCAGGGTATTGAAGGAAGGTTTGAAGGTTCTATATCAGAGAATGCTAATATAATTACCTCACCAACTCAATTAGTACCAGTAAGTTCATTCTTAGGCTCATTAGTTACCTCTCTTCCACGTGTAGACTTTGAATATAATGCTGGTCAATCATCAATACCACCAGTGCTTAAGGCTGCTACCACTAGAAATCAGGTTATGGCAAAGGCCCTTGAAAACTTGGAGATATGTTTGAATATGCCTCTCAAGGACATAGCAACATTTGAGTCCAATATCCTTTGCCTTCTTACTGCTCTCAACTTCCTGTCTCGCCTTTCCTTTGATGATGGAGCTTTATCCCATGGACTTAAATCTATAATACAGTCTTTTCTCAAGGATGTTTCAAGCATTCTTCATTCTTTCAAGCTAGCATTTGTTTTTGTCAACAGATTTTCCATGTTCATGAATGAAGCTCAAGAGAAGGAAGCTCAGATAAAGGAACATATCTCTAGGTTGGAGAAAGAGATAGAAGATTGTGAGGCTAAGATACCATCTCTTCAAGAGCAACTGAAGAAAATTGTTAAAGAAATCCAAGAGTTCAAGAAAGTTTATGAGACTGTGAGGAAAGAAAAGTCTGAAATGGTGGAAGATGAAAAAAAAAGCTCCACAACAAATGCTTGAGGCTGATTATAAGTGGTCAGTGCTATATAGTTGATTTCAACAGAACATTTATTTTCATGCTTATCAAGCAATGCGGTCTGGATTTGAAGATAACAGTGAATCTGGTGGAGACTATAGCATAGAAACCAATGAAAAAGATCATAAAAAAGACACTGAAGTTATGGCTGAATCAAAGAGCGAGCATCATTCTTCACAGGTTAGAACTAATCAATCTATGTTGCCCATTGCATCATCAAACCTCACAATGATGTGCATCTTCAATCTACATATTGCACCCTTACCTTGTCTTCTTCTATTATGCATGACATAATATGAACTAATCTTGTTGGATTTAATGTTGCTTAGTGTCTCAAAACAGCAAGGGAGAATTACAATCAGGTCCCACACAGAAAAATTAATTACTATAAGATTGTCAATACAGTTTATTTTAATTGTCAATGGATCTTGCAGTAATTAATTTTCTTGTGTGGGACTTTAATGTAATTCTCCCAATCATTGCCCAGTGGTGGACAAAAAAGAAGGGGGGAAAAGAATCCATCTTCACCAACATATTTTGAATTGACTAATGTGTAATTGCCACATAATTATTTAGTGGCTCCTCTACCTAAGGTAGCTTACACATGAAAATGTAACTTTGATAACCTCTTGTGTTTGTTTTGTGTGTTTGTGTGTAAAAGCATTTAGTAATAGCTTTCATCTTCATGCTAACATTTCTTATTTTGACTATATATTCATTAGTATATGTATAAATGGTTGGTGAATGAAATATCAATAAGTGAATCAATTTCGATAAACCAAGAACAATGACTTACAGAAATTGAAACGATTAATAATGAAATCAATGAGAGAATCAAAATAATGCTTTAAGCATATGACCTTGCTATATATTAAATATCATATAAAGCAACTTATTTTCATTTTCTTTGCTATACAGAATATTGAAGAGCCCAAAGATCAAAGAGCTGAAGAGAATATGTCAAAGAAAAATGCAGTAGCACCTCTATTAACTTATACAACTGTGAAGTGACTGAAACTTACATGCCTTTTGTTGTTGTACAGGATGTTAAAGGAAGCTTTGATGGTTCTACACATAAAAATGCTAAGGAAGGTTCTTCATCTACTAATTCTAAACTAATAAGCTCAATCCAAAATTCATTGGCTAGTTCTTACTCAAGCATTTTCATATGCAAGCTAGTGCTAATACTTTGTTGACATTAAGATTTTTAAAGTGGAGTTGAAGATTTTGATGACTCATTCATTAATTAAAACAAAAATTTAACTTCTATATATTGCTTACTTTCCTATCAAAACAGGTAAACTATTTTAATACTTAGCATATGTTGCTACAACTTAAAAATGATGCTTCTTTAAATTACATCCATACTTCTTTGTTTAGAAGCCAATCAAGGTCAACCAAATAAAGGTAGATATTGAAGTCGTGGCAAAGGCCTTTGCAGACTTGGAAGTTTGTTTGAAAATTCCTCTTAAGGACATAGCAAGTTCAGAATCCAACAGCCTTCGCCTTCTCATTGCTCTCAATTTCTCGTCTCGCCTTTCCTTTAAAGATGGAACTTTATGTCAAGAACTTAAAGCTACTATACAATCTTTGCTCCAAGACTTTCCAAGCATTTTATGTTCTTTCAAGTCAGCCTTTGCTACCATCAACAATTTTCCCAAGTTTACGAATGAAACTCAAGAGAAGGAAGCTAAGCTGAAGGATCATATGACTGTGTTGGAGAAGGAGAAACAAGATTGTGAGGCTAAGATATCATCTCTTCAAGACAAAAGGAAGAATTATGTTGAAGAAATCATAGATCTCAAGAATGCATTTGACAATGTGACCAAAGAAAATATTGAAATAATGGAAAATCATAGAAAAGCTCAGCAACTATTAGTTGAGGCAGATTATAAATGGTCAGTCTTATATAGCCAATTTCAACTATACAACATTGCTCTGGTAGAAACCACTTTTAGCCTTCTACATTGAAGCATTTAATTTTTTAATTTAAAAAGTTTACATTTTTGTTTTATCATCTTTGATCTTTCACTTCCGTTGTCATATGCAAAATGTTTAACTTGTGTTTTAAGGAATCATATTGGTGTGTCATACTTGTGCCATTTGGGTTCAAGGTCTTAGTTGCATGTGTTTCATTTCTTTTTCATCTTTTTTTTTTTGGTTACTTTTATTTAAGTCATGGATGTAAACCACGATATTCCTCCACCTAAATGAGAGTTTTTTAAGGAATAAGACATTTAATTTAAACTTCTATTTGATATGCATTTATATTAACTTATGAAATACATTTATATGCAATGGTACAATTCTGCTTACAAGTTTTTTGTGCTTTTTTCACTGTACAGTTGTATCATCTTGCAAGTTGTAGCTCCTGAATCTATTGGAATCACATAAAAGTGTACTTTCATGAAATTAACAAGTTATCCACTTTCATATCTTACAAGTCAAAGGTATTATATGTTCAGAATTTTTGTTTTAAAATATAATCATTGCTATAATAATTCAGTTCGTTCTTATAATATGTGAAAGTATCTAAACTAGTTCAAAAGACTAAAAAAATATTTATTCTACCATGATATGTTGTTATTAGACAGACCTGGCATAACTTGGACCCGTTAGCGGGTTAGGCCATTTATTTTTTTTTTTTAAAGAAGCACAGAAAATAAGATGAGAAGAGAAACTTTTCACTTGCTCAGTAGACAGTCACTCTTGACTTCTCAATTAAATTTTAAAATTTGTTTCATTGAATTATCTTAAATTCAAAGCATATAGCAAGTAAGTGAATCAAAGAATCAAATATACCTCTCATGAATTGAAAGTAAATTTATAAATGAGTCATGTCATATATTACTTATAAGCGTTGGTGTAGTCGATTATATTTTTTGTTATATTAAATAATAGTATTATTAGATTGTATAAACAAAAATAATGAAATTAACAGTTTGACCAAAAATCAATGAAACTAGACAATAACAGCCTATCAATACTTTTTATATTTTTATTGTAGAAATTATTTATAACTTAAGCTATGAGTAAAAAAAATGAAAAAGACTAAAGCATGTATAGAGCATTGGAAATTGTCTAATTATTTAATTTCATGGTTTAAAAAATATAAAATTTAATTTTTTTCACAAAATTGGATTAAATTATTATGCATGTTTTGATTATAAATTAGATAAATATTGACATGATAAATTATATCTAACTAAATTACGGATTATGTGACGTGCGCAAAGGCTAAAGTGTTCCAAGAAAAATTTGTTGCATATTGTTTCGATGATCCCTGATAGCTACGATTGCAAAGTTTTTTAATTTAAAACTTGTATTGTGTTTTCTAATGATTTACAAGAATTTTTATTGTTATTTGGATAATTTTTTTATGGAAAAATATGATTTTTTTTTTAGCTGCAAAAAAGAGAGAGGTGAATTTGTAGTTTTCAAAATTTAAAAAAATTTGTTTTACTAACAAGTGAGCAACACACTATAAGTTGTGTAGATTGATAGAAATACCTCTCACCAAGATACAGGTTATGCCAACCTGCCCTAACAAGCTTGCAACCCGCTACAGGCCAATTTGCAACATGTGAGTTGACCTATGTTATCAACTGTAAGCTTGACCTTGATCGATTTGGTTATAAGTGATTTTTGATTGCATCTTATTTGTACCAGAATTCCATTTACATGCAGATTTTAGAAAAAGAAATTCACTATAAAATTATCTAATCACTTGTATTATTGTCTATCATAGTACGTAAAGCAGTGTTTATTTTTGCCAAATCATATGAAGGAGGAGAAAATTACCTTCTATAGCTTGGAAATTATTGGCCTGGGCAAGGTTCTTTAAAGTTTCCAAAATCCAATTAACCAATCCTGAATTAGAAGTGTCAAAAGAGCGAATAGACAAGGAGCCAAACCAGATGGCTCTGATAAAAGAACAATCATAAAAAATATGATTGAGGGAGTCATGTGCTTCACATCCAAATGGACAAACCAAGGAATTTGGGTTGTGATGGGTTGCTAGTATGTCTCCAGTAGGTATAAGCTGACAAAAAAACTTTCAAAATTTAATATTTTCCATTTTAACCTTGTTGAAATTCATCAAAGCAAGGGAAGTCATCATTCATGGCAAAATTAGCTACCTCACCTACAAGACAATATTAAGTCATCAACATGAGCCGTATTATTTATTTCTTGTGAACATGTCCTTTTCGTATTAATAGCTAGTTATTATCAACAATCCTTCTGTCAGGTAATCATTATGAAATATAAAACTAAAATCAATTATCATTATTTATTACAATCCTTGTACCACAATTATGTCCTCTCAACCATGTTTTACAAAGGATACGAAGTCTGCAAAACCAAAGGTGTGAACAAAAACATGGTCATGATTATCAATATTAGCAAGAGATATCATGATTAAAAGTCAAGAAACTTCTTCTCTTTCAAGCTTTCGATCGTCTCCTTGAGAGATATGTCTAATGGAACAAACTCAATTCCTAAGGTTTTTGCCCTTTCTTTGGAAACTTGAAACTTTGGCATCAGGGGCTCATCCATAACAAACCTAACAATTTCATTGAACAACCAAGAAAATAAATCATCAAAAATCAGGAACAAGAACTAAGTGAATGTACAAGCCATTTGGTTAATAAAAAAATGACCACATGATTAAAAATCAAAAGCCAATTTCATCAATCCCAAGGAATAAATAAGTGATATAGAATATATCTGTGAATCAAAAAATCGATTTTACAATCTTAAGTTTTCAGGTCCAGCTCATCAAAGAGAAGATGAAAAAATGGAAAATGACACAAACCCATCAAAAGCTAAAGGAAAGGAATCAACAAAGCATTAGATGAAGGTTTAAGTACAACCATTAACACTAGTGTTGTGACTAGGTGGATATTCCATTACAAGATAAATGCTCAATTTTATACACATGCTTGAACGAAGAAACAGAATGGGTTAGTTGTTTGACAATGAATCTAAAGATGAAAAAGAAAGGAAATTTCAGGTTGTTTGTAAAGAAATTCAGAGATCAATGCTCTGACTCTACTTTCTATCTGTTCACGATATTAATTATTATACCTTAGTTTTTACTTCTTTCTTCCTTTAGGGTGAGGAATTGCTCAGCCCTTATAATATGCTTTACTTCTTTTCAGAATCAACTAAAGAAAAAGCCAGCACTAATCTTTGGATTCCTTCAGTTTGGTTTAATCATTACAAATTTCAGAACTGACTCAGCGCCAGGGCATGTTCTTGCTCATCTCTTAAGGCCAGTTGCTTGAAGAGATGTGCACTGGCTTTTCAAGCACAAGAGTTGGACTCAAGCATGATTGAAGAAACAAGAACAATTTTTACATGATTCTGTAGCAGGTAGAAATTTATAAGTAGTCTCATTATGAGGTGAATGCAATTTACTCTGCAAGTGTATGTTTGGGGTAAGATCTTAATCATGGAATCAGTTAATGAAGATCCGAAGTCAAAAGTTATATGCATTTTTGGAATTGAGGGAGCAGTTAACTTACTTTTCTGGAAGTGGTAATGTTGGGTATAGTTCATGTGAAATCTTTACAATGTCTGAGAAGTGTGCCAGTGTCTCAACCAAACAATATCTTCCATTAGCCGAAGAAATCTCAAATGCTTGAATATGAGCATGTGCAACATCTTTTACATTGATCCATCCTGTGGTTAAATTTGGAGATGTTTGTGTACCTACATCAAAATAGTATGGGAAGAGTCTTTATATCTTTATAAGAAGCATCACCGTTTGTAAAGAAGAAATTTCTTGACAATATGATGTTAAAGACTGGAGTAAGAAAGTAAATTAAACCAAGAAAATATTCAACAGGGATTCCAGGGCCAAGAGTTTCCAAAACAATAATAAATTAAATCAAAACTCAATCAGATAATTAGATTGTTAATAAAGAAATATATTGAAAATATGACATAAAATATTGAAGTAAGAAAATAACGATTAGACTAAAACTTGGCTTCATTAGAAACTAGAGTTTTGAACCAACATTCATGTCTTCCATGTGCTAAGCAGAAAATGAGAATTCAAGAAGTAGTCTTCCTTATATTTTGTTTTCTTAGAATGAAATTGTTAAAATTGTATTAGCTTATATGTCTTCGATCTTTTATTTAGTTGGAGTGCACAAGTCCCACGTTGGTTGATTCTAGATCCTGAAACTACATGACCTTCACAACGTAAGATATGTAACATAAGCCTCCCTTTATTAGCACACTAAAAGGAAAAGTAGAGAGAACCAGAACCCTAAAGCTACCTAATTAGGCTGGAGAACCGTAAATCCTTGTAAACAGCACATCATGATAACATGATTCTAGAGGTTGCAATTTACCATAACATAAGCCCACCCTACATAGATGGCACATATGGCAACTCCACACCAGGCAACTCATTCAGCCATCTTGCTAGTCATAATCCTCTTACAAAGTTCTTTCTATATGGAGACACCACTCTTGGAACTCACTCACGGATCTTTTCTCCAATTGTCCTTTCCATCCATTATGTATGAAGAAACAATGTCCAGCACTAATACCATGGATAGGTAACCTCGCATCACGTTTGATGACTCTAGTCCTATACCGGATCTTAACTTATAAAACACATTCATTCTCTTGATTTTATACTTCAAAAAATGCAGCCTGTGGATTTTGTGATTCCATAATGCGTTTGTTTATAACAGAATGTCCAAACCTTACAAACTTATTTTTATGCCCTTGTATATCCCAGAGTATAAAGTTGTGTTTATGACTTCCCTTTGGATATTTTTGTATTCCATAATGCGTTTGTTTATAACAGAATGTCCAAACCTTACAAACTTATTTTTATGCCCTTGTATATCCCAGAGTATTAAGTTGTGTTTATGACTTCCCTTTAGTTATTTTTGCACATGGCTGCTATAAGATGCTGTCCACCCATAAATGCTGAGAGATTCGACCCATGGTTCCATTAATTAAGCACCTTTGGCTCCATAATTTCTTGTAGTTTCTCTTATTAGAGGATATCTTGTTTCTTTTCTTTTTTTTTTTTTTTTTTGGGTGAGTACAAGGGATAGGCCCTGCTGATAGTAGAGATCATCTCTCCTGGGCACTGAGAGTAAAGGGCAAATATAATCCTCCCAACTAAGCTTACTACATATACAAGGGTTGGGATTCAAACCCTCAATGACTCACTTAAGTAACGAAAGCCTCTACCACTTAAGTTGGTCATTGGAGGATATCTTACCCACCACCCCCCCCCCCAAAAAAAAAAAAAAAAAAAACAAATAGAAGATCTTTTTCAAATAAATAAAATGATGATTTTTTCCTTTTTTATTTAGTCATACTAGTCAAGTCATCAAGGAGACCAGCTATCTACTCTAGCTATTAACCAAGCATTATGATCCCAATGTACATACAAGACTACCCTTTTTTTCAATATAAAAAATCACAAGTCAACTTTAAGTCTTGTTAAAATGATTGCAGTCCTCAATTTTTATGCCAACGGAAAATTCTTGTAAGTCGACATTAACATTTTGACCCTAATTTCCCTTTCAATTATCAAAAGCCAGAAAAATGGTTAATTTGAAAATGATCAAGTAATCAAGATGCAGACAAATTACATATCTGGATTTCTAAACAGCATGAATGTTGTGTGCATAAAAACTACCAGTTAATAGCTTTAAAACTGCAGCAGAAGAGTCATTAAGTGATGGTTGCAAGAGTGATCCGAGTACGACTCCTGGGTGGATAACAACCATGTCAATGTTGTTTTCTTTTACAAATTTCCAGGCAGCATCTTCAGCCAAAGTCTTCGAAAGTGCGTACCAGAGCTGAGATCACAAAAAAATTAAAACAACAATAAATTTAAGATTGTAAAATAATAAGCATGGAAAACATGGAATGTGCATATATTGAAAGTAGAAACAAATAAATTTGTGCAATTGGCAGCAGTTGTCCAGAGCATGCAAGGTTGAAACTGCAGAGCTATTATCATATAAACTTATCAAGACTGCTGAAACAATTTTGACTAGTTTAAGGTGCAATCTCTGCATCGCAATAAGAAGTGCATGGACTCAACCTTACAATCATTTGATTTCCATCATAAATCCAACAATATGTAGTCTTTATGCAGAATGAGGTTACAAAGATACATAGGAAACTTGAAATCACAGAGGCCACTTGTATCAGTACATCATTTTAGTGGCAGTCTAAGAAATATGGCACATACCTTAACCTCCCTACAAAACTCTGGCTTTGAAAACCATGTCTCATCAACAATGACTTCGGGAGTTCTAGGCTGTCCACTATATATGATTGAAGCCATGGAAGATGTTAAAACAACTCGTTTCAAAGATGACGATTTTGCAAATGATTTAAGAAGATTAGGAGTTCCCTTGACAGCTGGATCAATAAGTTCAGTCTGCAATGATAGGAGAGCAGCAGTTAGAGACTAGGAAATAAGACAGTAGTTTCTAATTATGACAATAAAACGGCAACTTAAATGGTTGACAGACTTGTGTTTATTTAAACTCATGGAAAGCCTTTATGTTCATAGACTCAAATCAGACTTTGTCACGGTCCTCTATTTACATTGTAATTTGCCAAATCTCCCAAATTTGCCCAGTTGTAAATTAGAAACTAAAAATTGCAAGATTTACCATGCAAACTATTATGATAACATCAAGTAGGTAATGTTATATGATCAGGGATAGGGCAAACAAATTAAAGGGTCAACACGATGTGTCTCTCACCATACTCTTTGATCCTCTAATCAACAAAAAAGATTACCGCATTGTTAAAAAGATGGCTCAAACAGATTAAAGTGTTTGGAATGAGTGTTTTGCTACAGGTCAACCACAGTCAACTATCTATCAATTTTAGAATGATATGAACCTGAGGGTCCTTGACATCAAAGAGACAGGGAGATGCAGTGTGAAAGACACCCTCACATCCCTCAACAGCATGGTCAAAGGAACCTTCTTCCAAGAGATCTGCTTTAAACAGGTGCAACCTCTCCTTTGCTCCATCAAGGTTTAGCAAATGATCTACCCTCTTGGGATCATCTGTAGGGAGTTGCAAAACATCACAAACTGATGACTATAAAATTTACAAACTAATTTTTTTTTTCTGTAGGCTGAAGATAGGAGAATGTATCAGAAACAACAATATATAGAACCGATTCTTCTCAATGAAATGTAAACATGGGAATCTAGCTATGCACCAAATCTGCACGCATACACCCACATTAATCCCCAGGCCTAGGTTCCAATGTGCCTATTGTATAAGTATTTTCTCTTCTTGAGGGCACATATATGGACTTTAATTTCAAAATGTTGAATGAATGCAACCTTGACATACAAAATTTTATTTCGACATGGTATAGTATGTTCTTATGATCATCTTTGATCCATCACTTATTGTCTAGCTATTATCTATATACTATTTAGAGGAAATTCTAGTTATCATCAAAATGTGTTTATTTTGAAAACTCCAAGGATAGGATCAGGATTTTAATATTAAGAACCAAGTCCTTCACAGCAGAAGGCAGTATCAAAGTCTAAAAGAGTGAAATATGAAGCAGAAGTGTTGTATCTAGCTATTGAAAATGTAAAGGAGTGAAATTTTGATGATGTACCACTTCCCTCTCCCTTCATTATTTTCAATTTCATCTCCAACTAGCAAGCCTTTCTTGTTAGACTATTCCTTAAATTTCTCATTGCCAAACTAACCTTGTACTATAGTCCTTAAGAATATGCATGAAGTATATCAACTTTAAAATTTTACAGATTGCTTCTTTAAAAATAAAAAAAAAAAAAAAAAACTCCTTCTCAGTAGCCTTTTAAAGTGGGTTTGTCGCATGTTCTTACCAAACAACATGGGTGATTTATTGAAGCTGACGAACTAACCAAACTGAACCGCAAATCTGAACAAAGCATGGGGATAAATTGAAGCAAATTAAGGAGCACTCACTAGGATCGCGAACAGTGGCCTTGACCGTGTAACCACGAACAAGAAGGAACTTGACGAGCCACGAAGCAATATAGCCAGAAGCACCGGTGACACAAACCACCGTTCCGTTTCTAGCGTTGCTGCTCATTCTCCCTTCTTCAATATTTCTTCACTATTTCCCCTTTCACTGCTTCGTCTTCGACCTTCACTGCATCCTTTGACGTTTTTAGATTCTCTGACTGATTCTTGGTTTCAGTGTTTGTCATCACGCGCTTTCTTGCAGCTACCATCCATCATTATTTTAAGGTTTCGAGCACGTGATCGACGTTTGAATCCACAATAAATTATCATTTGCCTGCAAACGAAGACTCGTGGAGTCGTGATAACATATCCTTCCTCTTTTCCCATACATAAAAAGTCTTTTAAAACAAATTATTTTCAAATATAAAAAATTATCAATATTTTTTTAATAAATTAATCATTATATTTTTATTGAATTTAAAAAATAAATATTTTTATTAATTTACTTTAAAAAAATTATTTTTCATTTATAATAATTAAAAATAAAAGTAAAATATTTTATATTTTTAATTAAATAATTAATTTTTATTAATTTATGTAATTTAATTAAAAATATTTTATATATAAAGATTGGGAAAGTATGAACCAATATTTTCTTTCATTTTGTCGCTTTTGGGAGTAAACAAATCACAAATGATTTCTTTGGTTCGAACTGAACTTTATTCATATCGGTTACAGTTCAACACAAGAATTGATTACGGTTACTTCCTTCCTTCGAAACGCGATCGAGCTTAATCCCAAAGTGGATGAAGTTGCTCAGACCAAAGATGCCGTCCCCTGGCGCCAATTTTTTCAGGGAAAATGACCAAGGTACATAAAACCGGACCGATCATTGAACCGGTCATGATATTGGGTCACGGGTTAGTGGTTCAATTAGGGTTGAATCGGTAGCAAACCGGTCATGATTAAAATAATACAATTTAAATAAAAAAACATTAATTATAAAAATATTCAATCAAATCCAACCACTCAAAAGTCTAATAGTAATAAAATACAATACTTTAAATATCTATCATTACAATTACAACACTTCAATCTCAAAAGTCTAGAGAAGAGATGGAGATAGAGCTGGAGAAGAGACGGAGATTGAGTTGGAAAAGAGACGGAGAGTCAGAGACAAAGCTGGAAAAGAAATGGAGATAGCATAAATAGAGATAGAGCTGGAGAAGAGACGGAGATAGAGCTGGAGTCTGGAGAAGAGACGAAGACTAAGCTAGAGAAGAGACGCTGATTAGGTTAGGGTCAGAGAGGAGAGACACAGATGAAAGGCCGAACTAAATGTTGTTTGAAAATCTGAATTGGACTTAACGTGCTCTACCTCTAACTTCTCATTTTTTGACTTTAGTTTCACTTTTTTTTTGTTATCTTATTTCTGAACTCAGCTCTCTAAAAAATCAAAAATGAAAAAAAAAATATCCAAAAAAAAACCCGGTTGACCCAGTCAACCCACCGGGTTAAACGGGTTATACCGGGTTGAACTCGGGTTGACCGGGTTAAACCGGTTCATTCCCTCACCGATTTAGGAGTAAACCCAGACCAGACAAGGGATCGGGTCACCGGTTTTCGGATTGACCTGGCTGGTCCGGTTCGGGTTTCAATACCATGAAAACGACAATCACGAACTCTAGTGTGCATTTGGTTTTCAGTTTGTCAAAAATTTATTTAGTGAAAGTTCATTTAATGAAAGTCAATTTAGTGAAAATAAGTTGTTGTAACGAAATTTGTGTTTGGATATATTTTTTCAAAATTCAATTTAATACATTGAAAGTTGTTTGGTTTGTAATAGTAAAATGTACTTTTGAGTGTACAATTATCAAAAAGGACATTGATTTATAATAATTTATAATTTTTATTATACAAATATAATATATTTAAAATATTTAAAAAATATAATAAAGATTTTAAATAACATAAATTTTGATCTATAATGATAAAAATTTAATCTCTAGTTATTTGTATTTTTTAATTTGTAATTTTAAAAGATGTAATAAAGATTTATAATTTTTATTATACATTAATGCTAAAAATTAACATGATTAATTACTCAATTTATAATACTAAAAAAATTGATACCTAATTATTATTATTAAAATAATAATTATATTTTTAATGAATTAACTATTTTTTAAATAAAAGAATAAGAGATTAAACTTAGGGTAGTATGGTCAAATAACATCCTACTTTTCAAATTTACTTTTCAAAAGCTTCAAATAGTTACGTTTCAGCATGGTATTGAAACTCGGACCGGACCGACCAGGTCAACCTGAAAACCGGTGACCCGGTCCCTTGTCCGATCTGAGTTTTACTCCTAAACTAGTGAGGGAATGAACCGGTGTAACCCGATCAACCCGGTATAACCGGATTAACCCGGTGGGTTGACTGGGTCAATTGGGTTATTTTTTTTTGGAGATTTTTTTTCATTTTTGATTTTTCAGAGTGCTGAGTTCAGAAATAAGATAATAAAAAAAAGTGAAACTAAATTCAAAAAATGAGAAGTTAGAGGTAGAGCACGCTAAGTCCAATCCAGATTTTCAAACAATATTTAGTTCGGCCTTTTATCTGTGTCTCTCCTCTCTCACCCTAACCTAATTAGTGTCTCTTCTCTAGCTTAGTCTTCGCCTCTTCTCCAGGCTCCAGCTCTATCTCTATCTCTGCTATCTCCATTTCTTCTCTAACTTAGTCTCTGACTCTCCTTCTCTTTTCCAACTCAATCTCCGTCTCTTCTCCAGCTCTATCTCCATCTTTTCTCTAGACTTTTGAGATTGAAGAGTTGTAATTGTAATGATAGATATTTAAAGTGTTGTATTTTATTACTATTAGACTTTTGAGTGGTTGAATTTGGTTGAATGTTTTTATAATTAATGTTTTTTTATTTAAATTGTATTATTTTAATCATGACCGGTTTGCCACTGGTTCAACCCCCGGTTCAACTCTAATTGAACCACGAACCCGTGACCTAGTGCCATGACCGGTTCAATGACCAGTCTGGTTTTACGTACCTTACGTTTCAAAAATTCACTTTTAACTACTGTTTGAATGTACTTTCAGGATGTGTTTTCCTGTAAAATATTCTACACAAACAACTTTCAACTTTCTGAAAGTAAAATTTTATTTTCTGAATGTGAAATGGAGGAAAACCAAACGGATCCTTAGTCTTCCAATGAAATTTCTGCAATTGAGTAATGGCTCAACAGTTAACAGAGTTCGTAGTTGTCATTTCCCAATTCTTAACATATAAATCGAGAGCCCGCCAAACTAATTTATATGGGTTGGGTTACCTTCCAAACTCGATTATTTTAAAATTATTATTTTCTCAACCTCCATCCTTAGTGATTACTGTTTGGATTTAGGCTGGGTTTGGAATATCCTTTTTTACATATTTTATCTTTTAAATTTCTTAATTTTTAAAAATTTAATTTAAATATTATAATATTTCATATTCATTTTTTAAAATATAAATTATAATGATAAAAAATAAATAATAAGTCCTATAAATCTTAATTTTAAGATGTAAAGTGTATTTTTTCTCTTGTATTTTTCCTCAAAGAGCACTAATACTAATAAATGAAGTATTTTTCTCCTTAAGTCATTTTTTATAGGGGTAAAAATCTCTCTTTATTAATGATCCGTTAACAAAGGGAAATTTTTTTTATTTGGAAAATGGTTTGAGAGGAAAAATACTCAACTTATTAGTATGAGGTGCAAAACACTACTCAAAGGAAAATGTAGAGACAAAAATGCACTTTAACTCAAATTTTAAATTACAAATACATATTCTTAAGTTTAAATTTAATCTAAAACCCAAAAAAAAGTATAAATATAATCTAAAATTTTAAAATATTTTTTTAGGAATATGAAAAAAATATGAGTTTAAAAGAGGTAACTTGAGCTTAAGCCATTTTTTAAGGTTTAAACAGGTCAGATTTAAAGGCCTTTTTAAATAAAAACACTTAAAATTTTAAGACCCAAGTTCTTAAAAAGTGAGCTTAAACAAGTAGCCTAATAAGCTTTGCCTATACTTTTGGCTCTATATACATATATGAAACAACGTAAGTTTTTGTCCGGATATCTTTTTAATTATCAAATTAGTTTTTAAACTTTGATTAATTGTATTGTGCACTTATAAGTTAATAAGTTAATGAATTATCGAGATATGTTAGACCAAGTAAAAATTCTATAAGAAGAGAGTTATTTCAATTTAAGATATTGTAAGATATAGGATCCGTTTGAATTTCAGTTAAGTATAATTAATTATAAAAATAATTAATTAATATAATTAATTTTAATTATAATTAATTATGTTATAATGCAATCTGTTTGGATATTATTTTTTAAAATTAATTTTAATATAATTGAAAATATTTAAATAATTTAGTCAAAATCAATTTTAGTTGTACAAGTTACCATAAAGAGCACTACTTTTTAAAATTAAATTATTAATAAAGTTGTACATAATATTATTAAATTTGTTAAACTTTATTTAAGAAGTAAAATATATCATTTAACATATATATATATATATATATATATTTGATTAATTATATAAATTTAAATTATATTAATATTAACAATTTAATTTACTATTTTAGTCCCAATAAATTGTTTCTTGTTTCAATTGTTTAAAACTTCATGCAATATAATCCCCATTGGCTACCTTCATTCTTTTTACTTTTCTTTCTCTGCATTTTGTTTTCATTTTCTCCCACGGTACCTATCAAGTGTTCATTAATATATGCTTAGAGCAAATGAATAACAAGTTTAACTCCCATATCTCCAAACTAAATACAATATAAGGTGAAAGCGCTAAATAATTAGCAGGAAATTAACATCATTATCTGTTAAGCATAACATGGCATCATAATTTAGCAAAGGATATCTCTTTGTTTGCAAGACATGTAATCCAGTCACTGAAACACAGAACGCCGTAGCAAAGGAAAACACGAAAGCAAAAGGAAATGAATGAAAAGGAAGAAGAACGTTATCTGGGCACGAGAGAGAGAGAGAGAGAGAGAGAGTGAGTCAAAGAAGCTGCCTTAGATAGCTTATTCCAAAACGTAGTTCAATAATAAATGGTGGTGTTTGGGTATTTTTCACCCAAACCACGTTTTCTCCCCAAAAAAATTGATTTATTTTGCAATCCAAATAGGCTGATAGCCATTGCAACTTGCACTACAAGAAAATTGCAAAGTTGAAAAGTTACAGCAAACAGTTTTTAGCGATGATAAAAAGTCACTACAATGTCTTCATGAGAGCTTTTGTAGCAAATTCTATCTACGGTGATAATAAAATTTGTCACTAAAAATATTCAATTAGCAGGGGCACAAAAAAAAATTTTGTCACTACAAAAAGATAGTTGCCATTAAAAGTTAAAAATCAATAACGACAAATGTCATCACAGAAACAACCAATCATTACTAAAAAGTAATACTAGTTAACCTAATCACATGGCGCCATGTCACCCTTTCACTCTCACATGGTGCCACGTCATGTGCCAAGTGTCACCCATGTTACCGCCCATGTGACGCCGTGTCACCCTCCACATGTTGTCCCCACCTCATGTCCCCTATTATCGTGTCACCAATTTATATTTTCATTTCGTAAATTGCCTTCTTTAAGGTTTAAACACATGACTTCCTTCTTTTGTGTCCCACCATTTTGCCACTGAACTAAAATAAAATTGCAATTTTTTATTGCATAATTAAATATATATTATTAAACTTAACAAACAAACAAACACACACACACACACACACACACACACACACACACATTAAATACAGTTAATATACAATTTAAAATCTAAACTATAGATCCAGAAATGTGATCAAAATCAATCCAACCTGATCACATAAAACCAAACCAAACAAAGCCAACATGAACCGATCAGAACTGATTATAAATGAGGTTTGGTTGGCTTTTATTTTGACAAAACCGATTGGTTTGGTTTGGTTTAGGTTTTTGCTTTGGAAACTTAAACCAAACTGAACCAAATCTTATTATATTTATTATATATATTTTTATAAATTTATCAAAGTTTTTTATCCTTTTTCAAGTTTGATTATTTGTAAATCATTAATAAAAATAAGTTACAATTAGTTAAATGTTATGTATAACTGTTTAAGATAATTTTTTTAATTTTATGATCAAGTGGTTTAAAGATAATACATTGATTTTTAATAGTTAAATATGCTAATTAATTGTTAAAAAATATTTTTTTTTGCTCAAGAGATTTTTCTTTGCAAATAATAATTAATAGTTAAAAATTATCAATAAATATGAATATATATTGGTGATTATGAAGAATATCTCATTAAAAAAATTCAAACTTGATCCAAACTTAAACCAAATTAAACCAAACCATTCAAAAATCGAATCAAATTGATTGAGGAAAAAATTGAATAGGTCTCAAATTATAGTGAACCGATTAGTTTGTTTCAATCTGGTTTTTCCTTAAAACCAAACCAAACTAAATCTGTGAATACCTTTAGGTCCAAGGGTGATTTGAATCCTAAACTTTTAAAGGGTGCAATCTAAACCCTAAATAATTAAAGATAGGGCAACTTCACCCCTATTATTAACTTTCGACAAAAGTCCATCAAATTGGGACCTCATGTGTGATTTTTATCAAATTTCACTCTCCCTCTCTCTCCTACCCACGTTTGGTGAAAATTGTACATTAATCTTAATTTGACAGACAATTGTTGAAAGTTAATAGTAAGGGCAAAATTGCCCCAATTTTAATTATTTAAAGTTTAAAATGCACCTTTTAAAAGTTTAGAATTTAAAATGAACCTTACTATTAAATGTTAACTATTTTAAAATACCATTACTATCATTAAACACTTCAATTTAATTCTATTAATTTATTAAAATTATAAATTATATTATTTATTTTGTCTACAGTAAACTAAAAATATAATTAATATAATATCATTTATATTATTTATTTTAATTTTTTTACTTCTCAAGGTTATTGTATTATTTATTTTAATATTCATAATTATAATTATAATATAAAAATATATAAGAATAAATAATAAAAATATAGAAATTATACATTAGATAATAATTCTTTATTTTTCTAGCTAGTTTTATTTAAAATTTTATTTTTACTTTTAATTAACAATAACTCTTATGTAATGTAATTGGCTTTTTTTTTACATTATATTTTAATTTTAAAATTAGTTCATCAATTTTAAATTATAATTTTATAAGAAAATTATACACTATATTATCTAATTATTTAATATTTATATCGCAAGATAGCATCAAACAAAAAAAAATCATATAGCATCTGTCATGCCCCAAAAATAGAGGGTGACCGGCACAAGTGTGAACCACTCTCACATTCTCATAAGCCTCCAAATGAATATTTATTCCATTTTACAAAAGAAAAGAACAAAATTTAATTAAATCACATGAGAATTAAAATAACTTCTTTAAACTCATTATCATAAGAAAGTGTCGACGTTTTTATAAAAATTTTAGCAAAACCTCCCCTGTAACTAGGATCTCTCAAAAATTCTACAACAAAAATTTCTTTTTACAGAGAACAGTATAAATCAGGAGCGTAGTTCCTTCCAGCCAGCAACCAATATACAGATCAAAAATAAGGTTTATCAACAACTTATGTAGAGCATCTACTCTTTCTTTCAAATCAAAAAGACATACAAATTCTATATTTACATTAAAAGCAACAATACCAATCAAAATGTCCACCCATTATAGCTAATTACCCTTTAGAGGTCGATGTTGGGATCAGCATCAACTAACCAATCTGAGGCTAAATAATTTTTTCAGTGAATAGCATTCCTATGGTAAAATTCTTAAAATTTAAATTGACAATTTTTAATAATGGTGTCAAATAATTAAAAGTAATTCCACCAAAATTTATAAACATGTAAGTCATAATCATATTTGTAAAATAAGAGTAAATTAAAAATAATTTATGTTGTCATGCTTAAAGAAAACAATCAGCTCTCATATAACTCAAAGTAATACAAATTACTAGTCAAAATCAGGTAAATTTCAAAAACACATATTAATAACCATTTAAAATTTTGACAACTCAACAGAACAAATTACAAATGTGGACACTCAGTCCATAAGGTTAAATAACCAAACTTGGCTTATGCCATGAAAACAAATGTGGACACACCAATCCACGAGGGTAAGTAACCAAAGGTAGCCGAAGCTACGAAACAAATATGGACACACAGTCCACGAAGGTAACTAATCAAACGCGACTTAAGCCATGAAATTAAATGCAGGTACAAAGCCCACGAATACCAAACGTGAAAATACAACTCACGAACCAACTAGCTAATGTTTAATTACAACGCGCTACGAGCTAACGGAACTGCCGTTAGCAACAATGTTCTGTTTAGAGTCCTATCAAAAATCATGTTTCAAACATGCAAGAAAAATAATTAATTTTAAAATACAATTTGCGTTTTCAATACCAAATTCGCATGCATCACTTAAAATTTCAATTTAGGACCTGTTGAAAATAGTCTTTCATAAAATAATATACGAGCTTGCGTTATCTAAATAATCAAGGATTTCAAGAGTTTAATAAATCAAATAATTTCATAAATCTTTGAAACATATTCCCTGAGGAAATAAATGCATATATCCTCCTTTAACCATATCGCATCGATATCACAAAGTTTCAAAATTAATGTAATTCACAAGAATAAAATATCTCATTGAAAATTTATTAAAACTAAAAATACCAATAAAAATAAATTAAAGAGAATGCTATTCACTTACATGTTAAAGTTCTAAATTCTCGAAAGTATTCTTCTTTTAATTCTTGCTAGTGTCTTGTTCTCCAAATATATACATGATTACGTACAAGCCCATAATTAAATTCCTTTACAAATCTACAGGTGAATTCCTAAACCAATAATTCCCATCAATATTTAGAATTTAAATTTTATTTCCTCATACAAGCCCTTCAATGACATCTTATAGGCACCAACAATATATCTAAGCTTGTCTCTTCCAATTTCACCCTAAATTTTTTTAACATCAACCAAATCAATAAAATCAATTTAACTCTAAAATTATGACCCATATATACCACCATCATTCTAATACTAATGCGCGCGCGCGCGCGTACACACACATAGATATATATATATATATATATATATTCTTTCAGTCATGGCTGCAACGGAACACACACCAAAAATTTTATAATTTCAGTCCTCAATCAGAACTCTTTCTCTCGCATAGATTCATCAAGAAAATGTCCTTAAGATTCTCACCTCAAACACCAATAACAGTAGAGGCAATGAAGAAGACAGAATCTACAGCAAAATAGGGAAGAGAAAACAAAAATCTTCAGCCGAGCAAGGAACAAAGGAAAACGTAGCACCATTCAAGGGAAAGGGAAAAACCAGAATCAGCATCGCCTCAGCTCAAGAACAGCATCACCCATTTTCGGCAGCCTTAACCAGTGAAATGCTGAGCTCGTATAAGGGAGAATGACGCAGAAATAGGGGAGAACTCTAACTGAAACGAACGAACCAGCCACCAGCGCACCGACGACGATGAGCTACGCAAACGCGGTGCCAGCTACGGTTGAAAGGGAAGAAAGTAGTGACCCACGAAAGGCTGAGCAAAATCTATCCAATCCTTAGATCTCCTTCTGCTCTAGAATGCCTGAGAAAAGAAAAAGGAAGAGTTAAAATATCTGATGGAACTAAGGGCAGTTTGGTAATTTCACATAGCCAGAAAAAGAAAAATTTAACTCTTCTTTTGGTCTCTTCCAAATTCGAACTTGAGACCTCATATATGAAAGATTGCTCAGCGGCTACTAGACCAAGTCTCTAACTTGCTATATTTATCCCAAAAACTAATATAAACACACTTTAGGCAAGTTAACCTATATATTTATCTATTTATTTTCAATTTTGTTAGGGTTATTACATTCTCCCCCCTAAAAAAAATTCAATCCTCCAAATTTATGTGTGTAATTACCTCAATCTTCAAACAAGTGTGGATACTTGACACGCATATCCTTTTCAACTTCCCATGTAGCTTCCTCTTAAGAATGGTTATGCCATAATACTTTTACCAAAGCAACTTCCTTCGACCGCAACTTTTTTACTTGTTTATCCAAAATAGCTACAAGAATTTCCTCGTAAGCTAAGTCTGAGTCTATTTGAATCCCCTGTGTTTCTATCACATGAGAGGGGTCATATAAATACTTCCGTAGCATTGATACATGAAACACTAGATGGATACCCAACCATTCAGGCGGTAATGCCAAACGGTAAGCAACTGCCCCAATTCTTTCTAAGATCTCAAATGGACCCACATACCTTGAGCTCAGTTTACCTTTCTTCTCGAACCTCATCACCCCTTTCATAGGAGATACTTTAAGGAATACTTTATCCTCGACCATGAATTCTAACTCCCGACATCAATTATCAACATAATCTGGCCCCAAAAGCTATCGACTTTAAGCTGTTATTAATATTTCTCTAATTATTTTCACTTTCTCAATAGCATCCTGTACCAAATCTGGCCCCAAAAGCTTAACATCACCAACATTAAACCATCTAATAGGGGACCTACACTACCTTCCATAAAGGGCTTCATATGGAGCCATTTGTATGCTAGTTTGATAACTGTTATTATAAGCAAACTCCACTAAAGCTAAGTAATGGTCCCAACTACCACTAAAATCCAAAATACAAGATCTTAACATATCTTGAAGTGATTGAATGGTTCTTTCAGATTGGTCATCGGTTTATAGGTGGAAAGCAGTACTGAGATCCAATCGAGTGCCCAAAGCTTTTTGGAAAGATCTCTAAAATTGAAAAGTAAATTGAGGACCTCTATCAGAAATTATGGATATTAGAATCCCATACAGTCACACAATCTCATCAATATACAAGTGAGCATACTTATCAACACTATATGTTGTCTTTACTGGAATGAAATGAGCTGATTTTGTTAGTCTATTGACAATAACCTAGATAGAATCGTATGCCTTAGCAGTACAAGGTAACCCGGTGACAAAGTCCATTGTGATATTTTGCCATATCCACTCTGGTATTTCTAAGCTTTGGTGTAGCCCAGCTAGCTTTTGGTGTTTTGCCTTAACTTGCTGGCATGTCAAACAGCGTGAGATAAAGTCTGCCATATCCTTTTTCATGCCATCCTACCAATACAGTTGTTTCAAATCTTGATACATTTTAGTTGCTCCTGGATGCACGGTATATGTAGAATGATGAGCCTCTTCCATGATAAGTCGCTTCAAGTTTTCCTCTTATGGTACGCAAATTCTACCCTTACACTTTAATATTCCTTCCTGGTCAATTTCAAACTCAATATTGCTTCCTGCTATGACTACTTCTTTTAACCTGCATAATTTTGGATCTGAGAATTAAGTGCTCTTAATCTGATCCATTAAAGAAGAACGAGCTCGTATATGAGCCAGAAATGCTCCCTTATCAATAATCTCAAACTTGACTCCACTCTACTCAAGTTTATGAATTTCTTGCACTAAAGGCCTCCTTGTCAAGGTCATATGCGCCAAGCTACCCATTGACCTTCTACTTAAGGCATCAGCCACCATATTCACCTTATCAGGATGGTAAAGAATTGTACAATCATAATCCTTAAGTAAATCCATCCATCTCCTTTGTCTAAGATTAAGATCCTTCTGTTCAAAAATGTAATTAAGACTCTTATGATCCGTGTAAATTTCATAAGTCTCCCCATAAAGATAGTGACGCCAAATTTTTAACGCAAAAACAACTGCTGTCATCTCTAGGTTGGGGGTTGGGTAGTTCTGCTCATGTTTCTTAAGTTTCCTTGAAGCATAAGAAATAACTCGTCCATGCTACATTAGAACATAGCCTAGACCCACAAGAAAAGCATCACAATAAACTGCATACCCTCCGTTACCTGATGATGAACTCAAAACTGGTGCCGAAGTTAAACACTCCTTTAAATTTTAAAAATTATCTTCACACTTGTCACCCCATTCAAACTTGACATTCTTCTGAGTAAACCTTATCAGTGGAGCAGCTATTTTAGAGAAATCCTTGACAAAACGACGATAATATCCTGTAAGACCTAAGAAACTGTGAATTTCTATAACAATTATCGGTCTTGGCCAATTTTGCACCGCTTCTACTTCGCTTGGGTCTACTTGAATACCATCTTTAGAAACAACATGTCCAAAGAAGGTAACTTTATCAAGCCAAAATTCACATTTAGAGAACTTGGCATAAAGTTGTTGCTCCCTCAATATCTGTAAAACAATCCTTAAATGATGTTCATACTCCTCTGGGCTCTTTGAGTATATCAAAATATCATCAATAAAAGCAATCACAAACTTATCAAGGAATGGTTTAAACACCTGATTCATTAGATCCATAAAAGCTACTGGTGCATTAGTGATAGGAAATTAGTCGCTTATCCTCAAAATTATACTAAAGCTAACCCTAATGCAATATAGGGCCAACCCTAGGTCATCTCCCAAGGAATGGTTTTAAGTCTAATTGAAAGTTATCTAGTGAAATAAATCAACCAAAGTTTGTAGGAATTTAGTTATCTAGCTAATTATCTAAACTAATTACCTAATATGCAAGTAATTAAAATGCTAGTGAAAGTGAGTGAAATGAACTTCCCTTTTTGCAATAATGGAACCCTAGAGATTAGTTGATTTTGGACTCATTATCTTCTCATGATTAGGCTAAGTTTAGCTTCCCTTTCCTCTTGACTAAAGCTGTCATGACTTAAGAAAATTATCCTAAGCCAATTAACCTAATTAGCTAAGCTCCCTAGGTCTTAGATTAAAGTCCCTAGTTTAATTAACCAATTGGTGAAGACATTAGCCAAGTGATTCACTCAAAATCCTCTCTCAACAGCCATGGTCAAACACATAAATTGAGCAACCACAAGATTATGTCAAGCTACTCAACAACACAAGCATTAACACCACAAGATTATGCAATATTAACACAAGAAATTCACTAATTGAAAAACACAAGATTATGTGCCAAACAAAGAGTGGCAAAATTCAGTCATGGCTGTCCAAGGAAGAAATTAAATGAAACAATCCTCTCTCTTTACATCAACATCAAATTCAAATTAGAATTTATAAGCTAAGATGATTAGACCCTAGATTAAGGAATCTAACCATCTAGTAAAAAGAGAAGAGGATAGGAAACAAAAGAACTTAGCCAATTTGAAGCTCAAGACTCATCCTCCATCTTCATCTCTCTAGGATTCCACAAAAGAAACTCAGCCAATCTTCATCTTCAAGAACCCTAGTGATTGCTTGTGAAGGCCAAACTCCATAGCTCTTGAATGATGGAAATGAGCTTCAATCCTTGTGAAAATGGAAGGGATGGAACGAAAATGAAGAGAGGAGAAGAATGGTATGAGTTTTGTGGAGGTTTGGTGGCTGAAAATGGAGGTTAGGGTGCTGGAAAATGAAGAACAAAAGAGAGAAAATGAAGAACACTATGAACAAGAGAGAGAGAATGTGGAAGATGAATTAGATATGTGTTGGATCCCATTTGAGGCTTAAAATGGCGTGCTCCTTGGTGTCTCCCATCAGCTGAAGCTTAATTAAAATAAGGAAAAAGAAATTAAAATGTAAATGGGAGCCTTGTCACACTTGCAAGGTGGCAACTTCCTATTGGTTTGTAGATGATTCCAATGTGTGCCTAATTTCCCATGTGTCATCCACATCATTTTAGCTGATTTAACCTCTCAAAATAATCATAATTCACGTGCAAACCATCAGCCATTGACCTCAAGGAGTGTTGACCTCAATTGCCCAATTGATGCACAAGTCACATGCCACCTATGTCACATAAATCACATAATTCAATTAAATACCATATGATATAATAAAATATAATTCATGTCCAGAATTAAATTCATATTTAGAAGGGGGAATTTATTAAATTAACCAAGTTTCAGGCTGCACAAAATTATATAAAAATTTTCACACAAAGGCAAACCAAAAACTAGGACAAACTAAGACACTTAAGAAAGTGTTGACTTTTTTATTTAATTACTCCCAAACTAAAATGAATTTTAAAAATATAATTTCACCATTCATCAACTGGACATAAAATGCACTTTGTCAATTTTTCTTGTACATTTTCTCAAAAGTTCATTTTTTGGACCAAAATGCCCCTAGTGCACTGATCTTAGAAACTTAGGCAAAGTTCCAAATCTAATGCAATGTGTGCACTTGAAGGTGATAAATAATTAATAAAATGGTCCTAATTGACAAATAAAAGTGGGTAACAAATGTGTTCTATCAATTAGTTAACCCAAATGACATTACCAGGAATTCGTAATGACCATATCAGGTTCTAAATGCAGTCTTAGGTATGTCTTCTTTCTTGATCTTTAACTGGTGATAACCCGAACGAAAATCTATTTTGGAAAAACACTGAGCTCCTTGCAACTGATCAAAAGATCATCTATTCGAGGTAATGGGTGCTTGTTTTTCACCATCGCCTTATTAAGCTACCGATAATCAATGCAAAGTCTTAATGACCCATCCTTTTTCTTCACAAAAAGTACAAGTGCTCCCCAAGGAGATGTGCTAGGCTGGATCAATCCATTATCTAATAGTTCTTGCAATTGAGTCTTTAGTTCTCTCAGCTCAAAAGGTGCCATTTTGTAAGGCGGAATAGAAATTGGTTGAGTGTCCGGAACTAAATCAATGGCAAATTCAATCTCTTGATCAAGTAGCAGTCTAGGTAACTCTTCTAGAAAAACATCAGGAAATTCCCAAACAACAGGGATTTGATCCAAACTAACGGTGGATTTATCAATGTCCCTTACCACCACTAAAAACCCTTGACAACCCTTCTGTAGTAATCATTGGGCTTTAAAGCTGAAATGAGATTAGTAGGTCTTTCTATAAAACTCCCTTATAACACAAAAGGAGTTTCACCTGGAATATCAAACTTCACTACTTTCAAGTGGTAATCAATAGTAGCATAACAAGAAGCTAACCAGTCCATGCCTAAAATGACATCAAAATCAATCATATCAAGCATCATCAAATCAATAAGGGTTTCTCTACCCTCAAGAGACATTTCATAAGACTTGTACACATAAGAAACAATTAAAGATTCCCCTACTGGGGTACCAACTACAAATGAATTATCAAGTTCGGTAGGTTTTTTACCCAACCTCTTAGCAAAATAAGCAGACATATATGAATGAGTTGATTCAGGATTAAATAATGCATAAGCTTGATTAGAACACATAGTTATAATACCTGTAACAACAGCATTTGAGGCTTTAGCATCCTGTCTTGTCATGGCATAAACTCTCGCCTGCCTTTATCCTAAGGAAGATTGTCCCCCCTAACCATTTCCCCTTCCAGACTTACCCCTGCTAACTGAAGTAGAAACA